TTGTGAAACTGTAATTATTATATTTCCATCATAATAGAACGGACCACTAACTCAGGCAGTCAGTATGTGGACTCAGTTTGCTCTGTCCTTTCTCTAAATGTTTGTACTACACCTGAGTAGTGCAACCCCCTTTAGTTCAAGCAAATTAAATTGTCTCTCCCCTTGTCGACAATTGTGGGGGGGGGGGGGGATACTTACGCCACTGCACCTGTACACTAAAGATCAGTGGTTTAAATTTATTATCGCTCCTCTGATCGCAAAATCAAAACTTTTATTCTATTCCATACGCTTTGTTGTGTAAATTAAAAAAAACTTCCATCATTTTTTTACTCGTCATTTAAAAGCACACAAATGTACGAAGAAACCTTTATATGTGTGTCCATCAGACCATCATCCAATGAAAATTTAGAAAAATATACTTTTAATCATATTGTACAAATCCGCTTTTTAGGCTAAATTAAGTATTGTAGTTTTTATTGGCAACTGAAGAAAATACATGAATTTACAAAATTGATAATACGTGGATCAAAGTAATCTTCACATTCAGATGTTGTCACACGAGTATATCAACTTTTGTAAATATAAATACAATAAAAAATTAATTGCAAAAATATTCGTCATGCTTTAGTTTTGAAATATTGGCGACCCTGGTGGTCTGTATCATATATTTTTCCCATGATTTAAAAACATGTTATACCAATTAACCAGTAAGTAGTAATATTAAGTTTATCCTATTTAACGATCTTTCTGCAAACGTCATACTTGTCAAGAGTTTATGTCACTTTTACAGTATTTTTATTAATTAGTTTTCCATAGATTAACAATACATGAAATAAAGATTAAATAACCGAATAACAGTTAAAATCAAATTTACGTCTCTTATTCTTAGAATTATTTTTAAGAACATAAAGGAAAGTGAAACTAGGCCTAAGCCATTATAAAACTATTAAGATATTGGAGAAGTAAAACTTGTCAAAGAGAGTGGAACTGTGATGCCACCTATTAGAAAATTTGGTTTATATCTCAAAAATCTTTCTTGGTTTTCTTTAAAAAAATCCAAAATTCGTCCATTAATTTGATGCTTAACTAATCAAACCTGATGCAATATGTTCCATCGCGTCCTCTGGTAAATAATTTAGCGGTTTATACGTTCTTCGCATAATATTACCTAAGCCTCATACTGTGTATTACGTGGTGCCCTCATATGTCATGGCAATTAGTTATTATAAACTGTTATTATATTAATGCTACATATTCGTTTTAGCGTATATTTTAAAACCTAAAATAATGCTTATGTAACAATTTACTAGTGTAAATGTACTAGACTTCATTATTATACGTTAATTTTTCACCGTAGTGCCCCCTAGGTAGTTTAATTATCAGTTACTGATTAATATTGTTAATGTGTGTTCTGAATATTAATTTATGTAGGAAATTTGAACAGAGTCAGGTACTTTTTTATCATTTACCGCTTTTTTTTATTCATCACATGTAAAATTTAAGTATAAACAAAATACCAGACGATCCATTTAGTACTCTTCAGAAAACAACAACAGAAAGTGCTAAGTATTAATGTACCCAATATTTGGGAAATAAAGTTGAACAGCTTTTGATAACTTGTACAGTTAACAATTTATTCATTTCACGCCTTTTCCAGTTAACGAAAATCACCACCAGTTCTCACCCGGGTGAATAATTTATTTTTGCATCAAAATACTTCGGTCAATATATATATAGTACTGATCTCCAGGATGGGTATCTCTGGTCAAAGTGTTTCTGTTTGATACACTGAGATAAATAATTCCGTATTCCTTCAGTCGTTTGGATTCGATAAATGAGTGCCAGTAAGGAAAACAGCCCAATTTAGGATTGGATGATATTTCAGCCAGTCAGAGCTCAGCGAGGCGGAGCCTAAGTCTGTAGATCACGTGCGCTCTATCAGTCTGCCAATCTGTCTTCTTCTCTATAGTAAAATATTATGTATTTATTTTAGCGCAAAGCCATATTGGACTATCTGCTGTGTTACCGCGAGGAATCGAACACCGGATTTTTGCGATGTAAGTTCGTAGATTTACCACTGAATCTCCGTGGTACCATGGTAAAAAAAAATACTAGGTTTCTGGGTGAATTTTATTTGTTAGACCATTTTCCCTCAGTGCCTACTTTTTATGAATTAAACAAAACAAGGTTTTTTAGTGTTAAAGAACAAAACAAACAATACATGAATACTTTCACATACGTATACTTTTTGATTATTATTCTTTATTGAATTGAATACTTCAACTTAATATTGTGGAAATCTGAGTTTAAAAAAATACTTTAAAGCTCTTTAGATGTCTTCACTTTCGTCATCATATCTTCAACATATATTATACACGTAGTTCTTCTGGACATTGATCTCCTGTAGCTTTATATACTAAACACTCCGGATAAAAACAACTTATAATATCATATAAAACGAAAAGCTCAACTTTAATAGAATTAAACTGTGGCAGTTTTAAGTTTTAGCGGCTCTGATGAGGGTCGAGTGTGACCTAGTTATTAGCATGCCGAACAGTGAATCCGAAGGTCTATGGTCCACATCCAGTTCCCGCAAAATCGTGCTTCGTACTTCGAGGACGTGGGTGCGTTAGAAGAGTAGCAGTAGCTAAAGAGTTGGTGGTGGGTGCTGTTGACAAGCTACCTTCTCTTTAGTCTGTCAGAAATAACGAAAAAGCTCTGATGAACTTACTAAGCCTATTTTTCAACTTGTATAAATGTAAATATTACATGAATCACAAGTTTTTTATGCTCAGAAATATATATATATATATATTAATTGTTCCTCTAAGAGTTCTGTGGGAAAATTCAATGTTGTGTCCAAAAGCGTATAAAACTGACACCAAAAATACGTTGCTTTTTAATTCAGACGCATGCGCTGTAGATCAGGTTTTTATAAGTTACTTTATTTTCCCATATTTTATATCGTTGGTTGTGTTTTAGCATAAGTATTTACCATAATTCATTGTTTCTTTAAGGTTATTATTAAAAATCGCTTATTAAACAACAATACTTTTATTTGGCAAGACAATTTGTATTTAAAACTACAGCTGTCAGTTTGACGGCAGTTTACAATCATTTTCAGAACTAAGAATTGAAGCATATGGTTTGGGTTAAAAGAGGGCGCTGTATAGAGAAAAGGTAAGAAACATCCAAATTAATTAAAAAAAGGATCGATTTATTCATCTTTTATCTGTTACACAAGTTCTTCGGATGGTGTTTTTAAAAAGTTATACATTCTCTCAAGTATTAAAATATATTAACTGCAAGTATCTTAAAGTTTAAAAATATGTAAATAATGTATATCCTAATCGTAAGATAGCGTCGTTAATTTGTTGTCATTTTCGCTCACAAAGTTGTAGATGGATCAAGCTGAATATCTTAAAAGATGTCACAAGAATTCTCAATAATCGTACGTAATATCAAAGCGCCTCACAGTGTCAGAACGATTCATTAAGGCTTCTTTTTTTACTCTATATTAGAGATTAATTCTGAGAACTCACGAGTGAAAGTTAAGAAGAATATGTAATAACATGTCGACCACATTACATCTGTCATATCTAGTGTCGACTAGGCCTTTCGTTCGATACCAGGGTATATCAGTCCGGCTGGGATACGACAGATATATATCTATATCTTCAGCATTCATGAACAGCGACTGTTATAGTGTGAACGTAACTAATTAAAACATAATTATTATCGTAATTATAAGACAATGACGAAGGAAAATTCTAGAATGTTGAAGAATTCGCTGATACCAGGTTTATTGACTCTAAACCATTTCCTACATCAGTTCAAAATGATAATTTTTTCTTGCAACTGGTTATATTGATAAAATTGTCAATAACTACAATTCAGTTGCTTAATGCGGTTCACACTATAACACCAGTATTATGACTGTCGTATCTCAGCCGGCCTGATGAGCTTTGGTATTGGGCGAAAGGCCTCGTCGGCTTTTTCTCAGACGTAGTATGTGTGGTTGACATATTACAACACATTCTTCTTTACTTTCACTCAGCTGAACATTATCAATGAAACTTCAGAAAACTTTCTGGTAAAAAATCAATCACGTGATCCTGAATTCGATCAGTTCGGTATTTTAAAAACTAGGTGTCGTGAAGTGTTAAAATGTCAGTTTATGTCCCACGTAATTCCAAGATATTTTATTTCACATGTCATTGAAAGTGATGACACTTGCACCCCTGACGTAGCTGGACTCAATTCATTCACTGGTTCTGGCTGTGACACTCTTCTATGACGTAGTGATTCGAATTTGTTCATTGGTTCCGATTATGTCACTGCTGAAACACCGATCTCTTTACGCATATTAGTTTTAATTGATTTTACGCTGCGGGTAAGTTGTTCAGACAAGAAACATAATGTCGATGACGTAATGATACAGATGTAGTAGAGTTTATCTGAGTGTAGGATCAACCTGATAATGTAATTTGAATTGTAAGTTAACGGAGTGTTGTCGGCTACATCCTCTTCAATGTTTTTATAAAGTTCGCTGTTCGTATAGAATTAATCAAAATCCTTATAATCTTGGCTACCTGGCGCGTACTCTAAGCCACACTCGGTCTCGGGGGTGGGGGTATCATGCTGGGGACAGCGATCGGCTCCCTGGCTTTTCTAAAAGCTCCCCCCACTACTGTGTCCTACTTAACCACGTGACCAATGTTCTTATTCATTGGTAGAACTGGAATTTTTGGGCGGTGCCAAGCGGTTTACACAAGAAAGTTATGTCAACGAGTTAGTTTCTCGTGCATTCTACTTTGCGCCGAAAGAGTTGCTGTGCCAAGAAAGTTGACACTTAGGTGTTAAGACCAGAGACTTCTTGGTCCGACAAACAGAACTTAACATCTTATAGCTTCGCTGTCCGACTGTATCTTGCTGCTTATAACAAACCTGTTTGATTTTGGACAGCGTACGTCTAGAAATGTCGAGAAATAGCTGACACTATGGTTCTGTACTACGACGCTCATTACAGTATGTTCCCCACACCTCATCAGGAAACTTTTAACCCTTACCCTTACACATCACAGCCTATCCAGCAGGCTCCATTAACTCACTATGGGTCAGCTCAACAGGGTTACGAAGTGGGATGTCCAGTGTCCGAGGCGATGTTTCAGCAAGGCTGGCACGCTTCATCCGTTTACCCGGTTTCTAGCATCAACGGTTCTTCGTGTGCTCGTGCATCTGTCCAACCTGTCAGTTACGAGGAGTGGCCTCAACCACAGTGTTCGCCGACAACTCCTGGCCCCTGTTCCAATGTAGGTATGCCGGTCAACTTGTCGTCGGCACCCGTTGGCCAGCCATGTAATTTTGGGCTACCGACCTACAGACCACAAGAGACAGTAACTAATTTTCAAGGGTCAGTTAGCATGGCGGACCTGGTTCATCCATGCTCTGACCTTGGAGCTGGCACTTCGACTGATGGTTCTCTCTCTCCGTGCTCCGGAGTCGGACCTGGTTTGATCCCCTCTCCAGGAAGTTCTCATTCGTCTCGACCACCACCTACCCGGAGTCCTTACGAATGGATGACACGACCGTCATATCAACAGCAGGGACAGTTGATACCAGGTCAGTTCCTTTCGTCAATGAGCTGGGTCATACATGTATTTATATTTAAATGAGATAAAGTCATTTTTTTTGTATCTGTAGTTACTGTTCTCTGTAAGCATGGTCCTCATGACTATTGTCACTGTTCTCTGTATTCCTGTTCCTCATGACTGTAGTCACTGTTCTTAGTAATCATGATCCTCGTGACTGTAGTCACTGATCTCTGTAAGCATGGTCCTCATGACTATTGTCACTGTTATTGGTAATCATTTTCCTCATGACTATTGTCACTGTTCTCTGTATTCCTGTTCTTCATGACTGTAGTCACTGTTCTTAGTAATCATGATCCTCGTGACTGTAGTCACTGATCTCTGTAATCCTGTTCCTCATGACTATTGTCACTGTTCTTGATAATCATGATCCTCATGACTGTAGTCACTGTTCTCTGTAATAAAGTTCCTCATGACAGTAGTCACTGTTCTTGGTAATCATGATCCTCATGACTGTAGTTATTGATCTCTGTAATCCTGTTCCTCATGACCATTGTCACTGTTCTTGATAATCACGATCCTCATGACTGTTGTCACTGTTCTCGGTAATAATGTTCCTCATGACTATTGTCACTGTTCTTGATAATCATGATCCTCATGACTGTAGTCACTGTTCTCTGTAATAATGTTCCTCATGACTATTGTCACTGTTCTTGATAATCATGATCCTCATGACTGTAGTCACTGTTCTCTGTAATAATGTTCCTCATGACTATTGTCACTGTTCTTGATAATCATGATCCTCATGACTGTAGTTACTGTTCTCGTTAATGCTGTTCCTCATAACTATTGTCCCTGTTCTCTGTAATCATAATCCTTCTGATTATTGTCACTGTTCTCTATAAGCATGATCCTTCTGACTCTTGTTATTGTTCTCTGCAATAATGTTCCTCATGACTGTAGTCATTGTTCTCTGTAATAATGCTCCTCATGACTCTGTAGGCAGATTTTTATCTTCACTGTTTTCATCATAAACAAAGAATTTTACGAAAGTTGGTGGATAACCCGTATAACAACTCTGATCTGAAGGGTAACGTAAGGTTACATATGGGTGGATAACCTATATAACAACTCTGATCTGAAGGATAACGTAAGGTTACATGTGGTGGATAACCCATATAACAACTCTGATCTCAAGGGTGACGTAAGGTTACATGTGGGTGGATAACCTATATAACAACTCTGATCTGAAGGGTAACGTAAGGTTACATGTGGTTGGATAACCTATATAACAACTCTGATCTCAAGGGTAACGTAAGGTTACATGTGGGTAGATAACCCATATAACAACTCTGATCTCAAGGGTAACGTAAGGTTACATGTGGGTGGATAACCTATATAACAACTCTGATCTCAAGGGTAACGTAAGGTTACATGTGGGTGGATAACCCATATAACAACTCTGATCTCAAGGGTAACGTAAGGTTACATGTGATGGATAACCCATATAACAACTCTGATCTCAAGGGTAACGTAAGGTTACATGTGGTGGATAACCCATATAGCGAAATCAACCATGGATGAAAACTATGATGTAGAAATGTTCACATTTAATTTAACAAAATTGTTAAAGGTTCCTTAACGAAGACTGTAACAACAAATTCTATATATCAATGCAAACACAACAAACAGCCACTGTCAAACTATATTTAAAGAATTAGAGGATTATAAATGAACAGGAAATATTTTTATATTTTGTGTTTCATTAAATAGTAGCTCAGAATAAGCTTGATTAAAAAGTAAACCTTTTAAAATTATGACACTATAACTCCTACAGATTTACACTTATTTCTACACTTATAACTCCTACAAATTTATACTATTATTTATAACTTATACACTTATAACTCCTACAGATTTACAATATTATTTATAACTTATAACTCCTACAAATTTATACTATTATTTATAACTTATACACTTATAACTCCTACAGATATACACTATTATTTATAACTTATACACTTATAACTCCTACAGATTTACACTATTATTTCTACACTTATAACTCCCACAGTTTTATACTATTATTTCCGAACCTATTGTTTTCAAGTTTTTAGTTTCAGTGTTAGTGTTAATTTCTATTATTCAGAAATGATTTATAAGGTTGTTTGTTGAATTTCGCACAAAACTACATGAGGGTTGTCTGCTTTAGTCGTCCCTACTTTTGGAGTGATAGAATAGGGAGAAAACAGATGGTCAATACCACCCACCGCTAATTCTTGGGCTACTCTTTACCAACGAATAGTAGGATTGGTAGTTGCATCATAACGAAAGGACGATCATATTGAGTGAGCAGATTCGAACCGGCGACACCCAGATTGCGAGTCGACCAGACCTAACCATCAGACCATACTAGGTCTTTCTTTTTAAAAGAAAACTCATCCTCCATCAAGTTAAACATAATTTATGTTTATTGTGTTTTGAGTAAGCAGTGTAAAAACTTAGACATTTTACTGGACCTTTAACAAAGTTGTACAAATCAAATATGCTAAAGCAACCGGTAGGTGCTGCCTTAAATTGTTGACTGGCTAACTTAAAGAGGGAAGCACTGTTGACACATTTTGTTGACATACAAATAATGTAAACAGTTTTTTATAATGAACTTGTTTTTATTCAAAACTCGAATGATCAAACTTAACAATGTTATGTGTGAAGGAGGTTTAATATCAGCAAAACCTGCAAAGAGTGAGCAGAGCACAGATAGCCCATTGTGTAGCTTTGTGCTTACCTTCAAAGAAACAAACAAACCTGCAAAGAAAATATATAAATTGAAATTTGCTGATTGCATAAGTATTCAGCCCCCTAAGTCATTACTTGGTAGAAGCATCTTTGGCAGCAATTACTGCTGTAAGTCTTCTACCAGCTTTACACAGTGGGATGTGTAATTTTTTGCCAATTATTCCTGGCAAAATTGCTCCAATTCTGAAAAGTTTTGTTGAGGATCGTTGATGGACTGCAATCTTCAAGTTTCACCAAAATTTTCCATTGGATTCAAGTCACGACTTTGACTTGTCCACTGCAGACATTCACTTTCTTCTTTTGAAACCACTCCAGTGTGATTTTGGCCTTGTGCTTGGGGTCATTGTCCTGCTGAAATGTAAATTTTCGACCTAATTTTATATTTTTGGATGACTCAAGTAGGTTTACCTCTAGGATTCGCCTGTATTTTGCACCACCCATCTTCCTCTCAATCCTGACAAACTTCCCATTCCCTACTGATGAGAAGCACCGCATAACATGATGCTGCCACTACCATGCTTGACAGTTGGGATGCTGGTGACTGGATGATGTCCTGTGTTGGGCTTGCGACTGACGTAACGCTGTGAATTTAGACCAAAAAGCTCAATTTTTGTCTCGTCTGACCACAAAACCTTCTACCACATGTCTGAAGTATCATTTACATACTTTTTCGCAAATTCCATACGATATTGAAGATGATTGGCTTCTTTCTCGTAGGAACCGGGTCATTGTCGATGTATGAACATTGACTACCATCTCAGACAAGGAACTTTGCAAATCTTTCAAAGTCATTGTTGCCTTCACAGTGACATCTCTAATCAGTTTCATGTTTAGTTTGGAAGGGCGACCATATCTGGGTAGTTTGTTTGTTTTTGAATTTTGCGCAAAGCTACACGAGGGCTATCTGCGCTAGCCGTCTCTAATTTTGCAGTGTAAGACTAGAGGGAAGGCAGTTAGTCATCACCACCCACCGCCAACTCTTGGACTACTCTTTTACCAACGAATAGTGGGATTGGCCGTCACATTATAACGCCCCCCACGGCTGAAAGGGCGAGCATGTTTGGTGGGACGGGGATTCGAACCCGCGACCCACAGATTGCGTGTCGAGTGCCTTAATCACCTGGCCATCCCGGGCATCCCGAGTAGTGACGGGGATGGTATGAAGCACATTCCACTTCTTAATGATGGACTTCACCGTACTCAAAGGGATAATCAGCGACTTTGAAATGTTATTGTAACCTTCACATGATCTGAACACCTAAGCCAAGGGAGAAACAACACCCACGATGCGGGAGGAAAAGATCTAGATTGCATCTGATCCTCCTAGGTCCAAACAAGGACCTAAATCCCGATGAAGCAGAAACAGTGATCTTTGCTTCTCTACCACTTTATCCATGACTTGTTTGGAAAGCTCCTTGGCCTTCACGGTTGGTTTGTCGTATCACTATGTAAGTCTGGTTTGAACAGATGCATTTACTCTAAAGTCAAGTGAAACCACTTTGATTACACACATACAGAGACCATTATACTTATTTTGTGACCTTTCAAACTAATCCCCCCCCCAGTGACACAGCGGTATGTCTGCGGACTTACAAC